ATTAAGAAATTTTATGACTTTAATTAATAATAAAGTGATTCAATTAGTACGCAAACATATAAATTTTTAAAGAATTTATTATATAAAATTGTTTGAAACTTAATTTTAAAATTAAATTATTTTAAAAATCTTTTAAAAAACTTAAAATCTTTATTAATAAAGTTAATAAAATATATTTTAAACTATAATTTTTATATAGTAATGATATTACTAAAATTAATATTTAACATTTTATAAAGAAATTAACACTTTTTTAAAATTTTGCAGGCAAATTTGCCTGCTATACAGTCTAAAGGATAGTCAAGCAGATGTTGAGATAAGACTTGAGTTCATTTATAACTCGATGGTTATTTTATTCCTCGAGATTATAAGGGATACTATCAGTTTAAAGCTCATATGGTAATACTGGAAATACATTACATTCTGGCTAACTTCGAGGACGTAGTAATTTTTTCTGAATCATATTTTTGCGTTTCCTATTTAATGAATTCTCATAAATCTTTAATATATACATCAAATAAGATTCAATTCGTTTGGACTTTCCAGAAATAGATTCTAATGGAATAGGATCTTTAGAATAGTATAAGAGTTTCTCACACGCTCTCTTGACAAGGCTTTCAGATAATCTATTAATAATATGTTTATAGTCAGAATAAACATTTTATTAGATATAGTTTTGCTTAAAAAAAGTTTGCGTAATATATCCATTAAGATATAGCAATAAAATATTTTAATTCACGTGTCAGTTTCGTGATACATCTGGCAGATCGCTTAGAAATATTAGCTCTGATCAAGAATTTCACATGACATTATAACCATTGGTCATAAACTTTTGCCAAGAAAATTTATTATCTGATATATGCCACACACTTGAATATATAATTGTCTAATCATTAACATTAACAGTTTTTATATTATGTGATTTTGTCAAGAAAAATTTTTTATTAATAATTACGTGCATGAAATCAAACTCTATTCTATAAATTTTTAGGGATCGAAACCATTACTACTATTTCACTAAAACTATACTCACTATCCTCAGATTCAGAACTATATAATATTTTATGAATTATACATACAACGGCTGTTCTCAGAATCATCAACGCATGTATAAGTGGATATACTGCACTTGGGGAAGTCATATGCAATGGAATTGTTGCCTCCTCTATTAAACAATACTTGTAAATGCCTGATTCTTTTCGCATAATATAAAGTTCTATAACATCATCTAGAAATATATAGGACGAATATAAATGATTTATGAATATATAAAAAAAACAGAAGTAATTTATTTGTACCTGCGATATTAATAGTAAATATGGTCAGATTCTGCCTCTTGGATGGTTGATTAAATATCTTTTTAAGGTTTTTTATGTTTCTTGTAGTATCAATAAAATCCTTAAAAAAACATATTAATTTTTGTGATCACAAACCCGCTTATCTTGACTGAAATTAGGTCTACCAATCTCAAAATAAACAATTTCAAGTTCAGCATTTTTTCTAACTGGTATAATCAGGTCTTCAGGCAATTTTACAAGAATCTTTTCGTATGTCACTAGCTGAACTTCCTTCTTCTCTCCTTAATTTAAAAACATATTAATTGAAACAAAATATATGATAGTGATGTATCTTTCAAAATATATCTCATGCTATTGTTTTCCTGGTAAATCACTCATCACTATATTTATCAATGATGTGAGAACTTCGCAAATATAAGATCCTTCATTTATCGATTTTCCCTTCTTTATATATGCTTTGTATTTTGGCAATTTTCAAACTTTGAGCCTATAATTATTTATCAGTTAATAAGCCCTTTTTTTCTCTTCGGTCATAAATTCAAAAAAAGAAAATCTATTTCCCATTCTGCAGATTGGTTATCTCCTGCAGATGCATAGTATCAAAGGGAGGAAATTTGTACTTACATTAATTCTAACATCCATTTTGTTAAATCTTGTAATTTCTCGAATTTATACAACCATTCTTCATAATTAATATTACCCAAAATCTCATCCATATTAATTTTCGATTCCTCATTCTGAATAAATTCTTTACAGTCTTTCATTATATGATGATTCTGTTCTAACTTATATTTTTGAAATGGTTCCTTAAAAATATCACAAACTGACCCTAGTATATCTGTAAAGGATTCTGACTTGATATCCAGAATGCCTGCAAGATTCTTCACATTTATTTCCTCAAGTTCCATTTCTATTCTCTTCTACATAACTTTCTTATAACTAATGCTCTCACTTATGTACTGACCAACGTCACGCTTCAGAGATCATAAATTTGTATTTGCATCTTCACATCAGACTTCGGTATCAATTACTAATGCTTCCATTTCTGAGAGTAAACATAGATTCTCAAATGCTGTCGCAATCTAAGAATGTATTTAAAATTAGTTTCTCAAGACTAGTTTAACAAATAATTTAATTTTACATCACGAGATCAGATTAGATTTCCATTTTCATAAAGTTTCAAATGCCGACAAAATGTCTGATATGTATCATATGGTATACAACTAGTTACTATTGTGTGGGAAGTAATAATATTACAATAAACATCAGCTTCTTTGCTAGTGGGTATACCATACTAGAAACCCTAAAAATATAAGTCATCATATTCATATATTTATCATAAAATAATTCATCACTATATCTGTTTCACCAGTTTTTTTCCAGTATCAAAACTTCGAAACTTCTTTACCCGCTCAATATCCTCTGAGAGGATTCATTCTAAAACTCTTTGCAAAACTTGTTCAAAATTCTCTACTTCTTTTTTGAGAATGCCTGTCTATTCACCTTTTTCTACTCGTATAAATAATACCGACAATATTAAGGGGTTCTCTTGTTAAAAGGAATTCTTTCATATTTTAATAAAATATAAGATAAATGTTAGTATGAAGTTTGCTAAGCAGAGTAAAAAAATAATGTAAAAGCGTAATAATTTTTCTATACTGTCCTTTTTAATATTTGTAATTTTCTCATTCACATCTCTTTGGGTCTGAGCTCATGTTGGAGTCGAAGCAGAAGAATATGCAAATGACTTTTATACCAAAATGTTGTGTTCGAGAATAAGAGCATGTAAGGTGTGTATTGAAGATCTCGACTTTATAAAGGTGTTAGGGGTAATGCATATGGATTTTTTTTTTGAAATATTTTGTCACACAAGCAAACTAGCAATTATATCATATATGCACTTCACAAGCTTTAACAAGGATTAGAAATATGTTTATTTATGCTTTAGCACCTTAACAGCTGTTGCACATACCATTGGCAAGGCGCAGGTAAATATGGAGCTAATTTAATACATTTTCCTATATAGAACTATTTTTTTATTTATGTATCCACTTCAATCATAAAAAGAATTTTTACGGTTTTCCCTTGCAGGTAATACATTTTACAGATTAACTCTATGTCTAAAAAATTATATTGGATATGACATTGGAAAACATTTCTCAAAGACGCTCTTGAGATGCTTTATCTCTATACCACCAATTACTGTTAAGCGGGATATTAATATGTAAATCAAGTTGCACCAACATTTCCATTCTGACTACTAGTGTACTAACTGGACTTTTTTTAGTATCAAGATAATATTCGGGATTCTGTGCCCATTTTATCGTAGTATACCACTTTGGTATATAACCTTTTTGTTGTAATGTTTTTCTAGCACGAGCAAAGAGCACCCAACCTAATCGATATAATGATTTTTTTTCTTTTCCGCCCAAGTTATAGGAGAATAAAGGGTATGATTATATAGCATATTAAAACAATCACTTTTCCAGTTAAATTTTATGAGTTTTCCATTAGGATGTCATGTAACATTCATTAGAAGTTCTTGAACCATACTTTAACCCGTCTTGTTTCCTGCATCTTTCAATTCATACCGGGTATGGATAAATATCCGTAATAAGCACGATCATCCCGAGATCCACAAATTTGAAACATGGGAGCGATTAACCATGCGAAAATATTGATCAGCATGACTTACTCTCTGCAAGCTCGGGTAACAAGTTTTTTCTACAGAATCTATTCACATATAAAGTTCGAGTTAAAACAACAGCAGTGCCAAGCCCGGCTATGGAGATATTCGAATCCTTCATCAAAGACTTGTTAAAAAAAATTGTTAGAAAGATTCCATCGCACAATGATTATCAACACAATATAAATTTCGTTGCTGGTCGTTGATCAAGCCCACAGTCCAAATAATTGAATTCAAAATTCTAGCGATCATATAAGGTGACTCCATAATTGTTCGAATTATGGACCCTGTAAAGAAAAAGCTAGAAAAACAGTCATTAAAATACTTAATTGCAATAAAGATCTCCTTATACTCATCCTTGATTAACCCTACAACGATTAGTATTGAAAATCGGACCCTGAATATTTCAGCTTGAAAGGCAAAAAGGATTAGCACCAACCCCACTACATGTGAAATAAAAATAATGCCAATGCCAATTAATGTACAAAAATTGACCTGGAGGTCTTTTATTAGTAATACATGTCCCTCATAAATCAAACCCATAGCATGTAAAATGAGTTCCTCAAAGCCTACTTTGCATTAAACTATGTCTCGTAAAAAAAGTTATATTACGTCTATTTGTAAACTTTGAATAAGTATTCTCGGTTGACTTTTAGAATACGTGGATAAAATTTCGGATTTTTTAATAGATATTGTGTATTGACTCTGGTCGGTGTGGGGATCGTGAGTCTGCCCGGCTATTTCTTTTTCTTTTTGGCATTTCCCAAACTTTTATATCCGAATGATTAGACTCCATCCATTCTTTTGCCTTATTCAAATTCGATTTGTTATCGAAATACAAGTATATAATCTGCCTTTCTTTTCTGTACCACCACCCAAACAATTGTAATGAAAAAAAACAATCCATTACTTCTTCACCCTTCCAATTTCCAACCGTTTCACCATCGGTTATTTCAAGGATATGATTTTTCCCAACGGGGTCTTGTCCATATGCATATGTAAAGTATTTATAGTAATTATCCAAAGGATAGAACGAGGAGGAACATTCCGTGAGATCACCGGATACTCCTATATTAGTGGGAGTTCACTTAGATAACTTATTTGAATACAAACACAAACAAAGCAGTGTATCATACCTGATTGCCAAAACCATGTTTCGACCTTCCAATTATGATTCAGAGCCCGTTTTACTACAGGAAAATAATCACCATCTCCAGAAACTAAAACAAATATACCAGGATCCCTAGTCCAGATAACATCCATTGCAGAAGCACCTAGTTCCATATCAACTTTATTTTCTTTATTTTCTATATTTTGATCAAACACGACTATATCATAACCTTGACTTTCAATACGATCCCATAGCGAATCGTTCAGTGGCGGACGAGAGCCGACAATAATCGGATTGCTACCCATTTGTCGTCTGTTCAGTACCGCTGATAGAAGACGACCATGGTCGATATGGAGCTGGTTGAGGTAGAGGGAATTTCTTTGAAAGGTACCTGCGGATTCTAATCGACCTATCCCTTAGATTGTCGGGATTAGCAGGCAAATTTGCCTGCATAATTTCCGAAATTCCTTTCTGATCTAAAATTTTT